CCAAGAAGCGTCTGAGTGCCCAGTGAGGACAACTGGGCTCGTCCCTCCAAGCACTAGCCCCATGCCTGATGTGCTGCACAAGTAACGCAGTACCCTCTTAGCAGCAGCCATGTGCTCAGGTCGGTGCCGACCAGGAGCCACGTAGCGAGCCAGGAGACCAAGAGGGTACGCGAGGTCAGGTCGAGTGCAAGTCATCAGGTACATGAGGCAGCCGACTAGCTCTGGGTAAGGACCACTCGGCTCTACGGACTCGTCCGAAGGTGGAGCTGAGAGCGTGTGACCTGTAGCCAGAGGAGTGGCCTGTGCTGAAGACCAGGTGAAGCCGAAGCGCTGAAGGACCTGCTGCACCATGTGTGACTGAGTCAAGGTGATGGTGCGACGTGCTCTGTCTCGGGTGATCTGCAAGCCAAGGTAGCTGCGCAGCTCACCCAAGTCTGTGCACGTGTGTCTCTTCTGCAGCTCCGACTTCACGTGGGCGAGAGCCTCAGTGTCAGCAGTGGCAAAAACCAAGTCGTCGACGTACACGAGGATGTAGAACGGCGGCAGTGAAGTGTCGGTGCGCAGAAACAACGACGGGTCAGCAGTAGAAGGCGCGAACCCAAGAGCCGCAAGCGTAGTCCTCAGTGTGTCGTGCCACTCACGTGGCGCCTGGCGGAGACCGTAGACCGGCCGCCGGAGGCTCCACTGGGTACCAGGAGGGAACGACCCAGTGAAGCCCGGGGGGCGGCGCAGCCAGATCTCCTCGTGCAGGCTGCCCTGCAGGAAAGCTGTGCTGAAGTTAAGAGAGTGAAGCTCGTAGTCACGGTGAGCAGCAACGTGCAGCAGCACCCGAAGAGTGGTCATCTTCGGGGTGGGGGAGAAGGTCTGGAAGAAGTCAACTCCCTCTCGCTGACTGAAGCCTCGAGCCACGTAATTTGCCTTGAAGACAGGCGGAGAACCCGGCGGCCGCTTCACCCTGAAAATCCACATGCCACTGACGATGTTCGCCCCAGGTGGGGGAACCTCGTCAACGTAGGTGCCTGTGGACTTCCAGGAAGCCATCTCTGCGTCCATGGCTGCCTGCCACTGAGAGGAGTAGGGACCCTCTATCGCCTCTGCGTAAGAGCGCGGAGTCGGGATGTCTGGTGCATCCGGGTCTCCCTCAGGGGCAAGTAGCGAGGACACAAGATGAGGTAAAGCAGCAGCAAGACACTGGAACTCCTCCTGCCTGTCCTCAAGGACGTCCGTGCTAAGAGCACACTCACCCCCGACGGACGGAGGACAGACAGACTCAGACTCAGCAACAAGACAAGCGACGTAGTCTAGACGACAGGCAGCAGCAAAGTCAACAAGCTCAGCGACCAAGGCAGACGCAGCAGTAGACTCAAATGACGGGTCAGTGACAACAGTGGCTAGGAGACGCGTGACAGTAGGGTGCTCAGTACGAAACCGGTCAGACTCAGGGTCCGGAACGGCAGGCAGAGAGGACGCAGGGGGAGACGGCAGAGGAACAGGCTGCGGAGCAGAGGAAGGACGACGGACTACGAGGTGTGCGCCGGGGACAGCCGGCTGGCGCGAACGAGGAACACGACGACCGGTACGACCAGGACGAACAGGCGAAACAGGACGCGACGCAGGCTCACGACGCTCAGCTGGACTACCGGTCAGCTCAGTGTAAGGAGAAGGAGCAGGCAGCGGTGAGCCAGACTGTAACGGAAGACCAGTAGACGACGGAAGAGTAAGAACCTGACGAAGAACAGAGGCAGACGGCGGCAGAGACGACGGAGCAGTCGTGACGGCGCAGCTGCACCAGAACCAGCAGCTCCAGCAGCTCCAGTGCCTCCAGCAGCTCCAGTACCTCCAGCAGCTCCAGTACCTCCAGCAGCAGCACCCCCAGAACCAGCACCTCCAGTCCCAGGGTCTCCAACCTCAGGGTCTCCAGCAGTAGCACCCCCAGAACCAGCACCTCCAGCCCCAGGGTCTCCAACCTCAGTGTCTCCAGCAGCAGCACCCCCAGAACCAGCAACTCCAGCACCTCCAGTAGACAAAGGACCAGCACGACTCCTAGCTCCAGTAGCGCGACGCTGACGGTGACCGTACCAGTCCTGCAGCTGCTGTGGGGTGAGAGGCACACGTGGACGAAGGCGGCCACTCCAAGGAGACCGCGCAACAGCAGACTCAGAACCCTCAGCGCCCGCACCCCCAACGGCTCCAGAACCTCCGGTGTCAGTACCCTCAGCACCAGTACCTCCAGCGGCTCCAGAACCTCCAGCGCGAGCACCCTCAGCAGCTCCAGAACCTCCAGCTCCAGCGCCACCAGTACTAGGCCCTCCAGCAGCTCCCGAACCTCCAGCGGCAGTACCGCCAAGCTCAGCACCCCCAGACCCCTCACACTCAGGCTCAGCACCACCAGGCTCCACACCCTCAAGCTCCGCACCCTCAGGCTCAGTACCCCCAGGCGCAGCACCCCCAGGCTCCGCACCCCCAGGCCCAGCACCCCCAGAAGGAGCACCCCGAGCAG